ATATTTGTAGAATAATGTTAATGGACTTTGTAAGTAAAATGTTTATGGAATGTTAGGAAAAATAAAGTATTATTGTCGCTAAAAAAAATTATAAAAGCAATTGGATATTCTATTTTCATATATTCATTTTTCTGCAAATGACAATTTTACGTTAATATTGCAAGACGTTAATTGTGTTACGAGGTATCGAAAAATATATGGTATATCGACTTCTCTAACAGATTCGTCGTCGCCGCAGAGGCGACATCTCGTTTTATCACCTGATCCTGATACATTTAAAGCCACTTCCGTTACTGGACCTAACAATGTTCCACATTTCTGACAAACAAGGGTCTGGAATATCAACGTATTATCATTGAATAAATGTTTTCATTAATAGCATGCTTAATTATAAGATGTGATTTAAGCTAACTTAAGTGTGATAAGAAAAAAAAAATCAAAGAGATTAAAACTTACTGTAGTTTTATCTGAACAGTGAAAAAGACGATCTTGAAGTAGAAATGAACAACCGTGAGATATTAACGAATCTCGTTCCATTTCTCCAAATCGAATGCCACCACCTCTTCTTCTACCCTTTATAGGTTGTCTTGTTAAGACATCGATTGGACCGGTACTTCTGACCTGTAAAAGTTTTAAAACCATGAACAAAGACGAGTTATAGAGTCGCCATATCAATTAACTCCATACTAACCTGCCATTTATCTGAAACCATGTGCCGTAATCGTTGGTAATGTACTACTCCAAAGAAAATATCCGCAGTCATTTCTCTTCCGTCTATTCCTGAATACATTCTTTCTGTTCCATAATAATTATAACCGCCGCGTTCCAATAATTTTCCAAAATATTCAACCGCTGTTTCATTTTCGTTAAACCTAAACGATGTTGCATCGTGTACTAATCCATGTATGGCTGCCGACTTTCCAGCCATTACTTCGATCATCATGGCTATAATAAATACATGTTAATTATAATCGGTATATTTGTGAGTATAGAAACATTAAAATTTTTCAAATATCAAGTCTTTTTATAATTGATTTTACCTATTGTCATACGGCTTGGGAAACCGTGGGGGTTAAACACGATATCAGGAATTAAACCAGTTTCCGTAAATGGTAAATCTTCTGCAGGCCATTTTTGAGAACAAATACCTTTTTGACCAGCCCTTGAAGCAAATTTATCTCCCACACTAGGATTACGCTAAACGTTGAAATTCTTGTTAAATGATTATTATTATTATACAAATCAAAAGATGTAAATTACTATTTTACTAACTGGAATACGAAAGGTAATACAAGCTCTACGTGGAATGTGACTATGTAATGTTCCACAAAGCTTTACATTATCAACATATGCATCTTCCTTTCCATGATATTTACTAGTAACATACATTGATTTATCTGCATCGTAATAACTATTAAAAAAGAAACAATTGCATTTTATGTAGAACAAAATTAAAAGTCCTTAGAAATCTTAATAATGTTGTAAAAACAAACTTACCAATAGTAAGTATCACCTTCTTTAATAATTGTACCTGGTATAGGAAGACCATCAGAATCTAATTTTTCTGCAAGTTCAGGTTTGTCAGGGTTTCTTGCAAAATAACTTTTCTGATCTTTCAAATCTACAAATTCAGATTTGTAAATCATTCCATGTGCAAAACCTCTATCATATGCTGCCTTATTTATAATCATTGCATCTTCCATATCATATCCCTAATAAAATATACATTGTATTAAAAACAGTTTGTAAAATTAATTTTTTTATTAATCTCAATGAAACTTGTTAGTTATAAGTTTTTACTTGCCGTGTAAGAAATAACAGCAACTATTGCATTAGTGCCCATGGCAAAATCATCAAGATTAATTTTATCGTAATGTACTGGCCGAAAGAGTGGTGTTGCAGGTGTTTGCAACCTATATAACTTAGTTTCAGATTGTAATTGCCATGTATGGCACGGAGTACCCATTGTTTGTTTACCCATCTAAAAATTAATGGAATTAAATACTCTTAATAAGTAAAATTTTTAACTAAATAAGAATTTGTAAAAAATCCTACTTGACATTGATACATATTTCGGGGACTTTGATTACAGTCTGGCATTGGGATGAGATTTGCCAAATTACTTAAGAAAGCCACTTTTGATAATTCTTGATGTGACGTTAACTGTAACAATAAATATGAAACATTTATAAATGAAAAAAAAAAATAACAGGAAAAAGAATGTAGTACCCCCTCATAGGCTTCTTCTGGAGTAACACAGATGTCCAAGTAAATTTGTTCGAATGTTCCTATATACTCGACTTTTTTGGCAGCCAAATTCATTACTGGCCTCATCATGCGAGCTGGACTTGTAAACAAATATAATCCTGGATATTGTGCTGGTACATTTTTCTTTGGCACCCATACAATTTCCATTGTGCATGGAATCTATAAAATATACGTCATAAGTTAGTAATATTCAAATTTAAAATTTCGTTATATGACATTACCTCTTCGCCTTCTATTTTAAGCAATCGTAGTTTGTCAGTTACTCTTGCAATTATACTATCATCGATTAATCCAATCAATTTTCCATCTAACATTACAACATATGAATTTTTCCAATCATCAGCAATCGATAACGGAATCATTCCGAGATCCATTAATATGACAGGAATATTAGCTTCCAACTTTGGATTCGGATGTTTTGTAATAATACAATTCATTGTTAAATGATTAAGAAGGCCACAAGGTACACCATCAGGTGTATGTACAGGACAAATGAAACCTATAATGTAATAAAAATTATCATCATCATCCATTATTATTATATTATTAAAATAAAACTTTCTTGAATTTGTTTCAACTGTAAATACAAATTTTGTAATATATTTACAAATACAAATAAAACATTACCCCATGCATCTGGTAATAATTGTCTAGCCTCTGTAGTTCGCATTTCTTGGAAAAAAGAACCTCTATGTATTGCACGAAAATGGCTCATATAACGCATCCTATTAATATTTTCAGTAACAATCGTGAGACCTGAATTTTGCATCAATCCTAAACCTGATGGCGAACTTATATTTCCGGTAGATAAAAAGTTTTCCATTTGTGATTCAAGTGAAGTTCCATGTTTCAGTGCATTCAGCATTTCCTCTGTATCAATATTTAAAATAGTTTTACTTGCAACAGTGTTATTTTATGATCCTTAAATTAAATATTCAAAATACTTACGCACGTTTAAAGTATATCTATTACCAGCACTCCTTGCACGTTTCAAGATATTCAATTTAAGACCAATTAGCCAACTATGTAATTTCTCTTTCAATAATTTCAAATCGCAAGAGCAAATAACTTTTTTGTCATGAACACAAGTAAATGAAATTTATCTAGTGGATTGTTAAGGTGAATTGCTATGCAGTGTCTAAAAATAATATATGTTAATCTCATAAATTAATGCATGGTTATGAATATTTTGATTACACTTACTTAATGATAAAATCACAAACATCTGTGTCAGTACTATCTTGAGGTATTTCAAAAAACTTTATTCTAAACATTCTTCCTATATATGCTTTGCATTCATCATGGCTGTGTAAATCCTGTTCATGTATTGTTCTTAACATATTTAAAATACAACCTATGTAATATAAATTATCTTCACATCCAGCTGTTAATGCATTATAAATGAAAATGTCAGAGACATCAATCAAACACTTTAAAATCAAAATTAATGGAACATAATATAAAATTTTTTTATATGAAAACATTAATTTTGCAGTACCATCAGTTACATAGTGTAAAGTGTTAATCTGCAAAAAATATGATCATATAGTAACACAGTTTAATTTATGAAAAATGCACCATAGTTTATTACACATACTGCTGCAGTGTTATCATCCCTCACACTTCTTAAAAGTAAACCAAGATCACTAAATTGTATACCACGGGCTTTCCATCCTGATCTTCTAATAGCAACAGGATAATTTCTTCTTGTCATTAATAACATTCTTATAATTCTTTCAAGCCCTTTAATTATGAAATATCCACCCCATTCTTGCTCATGTTCCCCATGAGCAACTAACTCTGTTGGACTCATTTTATTTAAATGACAACGATTAGACTGTAATTTTAAATGTAAATTAAATACATTTGAATTATCTATTTTATACGACAGAGCTACATACCTTAATCATAATTGGAATTTCTCCCATGTCTCTTTCAAGAGTTTCTTGTATTTTATTATTGATAGACCAACCAAGTTTGACTGTTATTTTTCCTTTATAAGTACTTCCACGCTGTCTACATTCTGTGGGATAAATCTTATGATTCTTTACACCAATTGTACCAGATGGAACACTAGGTTGATGAATAGATACATCATCGATCCATAAAGCTACTTTGTCTTCATTTGGAAGGTGAATATAAACAAATGGGTTATCTCGAACAGCCTCGGAAATACCATCATCTAACATATAATTAAAAGAATCTATATGCGGAGCACCTAAGCTTTGTAACAACTAAAATATATAACACAGATTAAATTAAAATTATAAGGGAAGATCATGGTTAAATTAAAAAAAATAAATAGACATTTACTAAATTTTGTTTTTTCGGTGGTTTACCGAAAGTTGTAGATGTGTTTGTTAATTTTGGTTCAATTAACATTTTTATATTTTGCTTAAAATTCAACTTTAAATAATCAACACGTAATACAAACAATCTCAAAATACACAATTGTTATTACCACGAGTATTCTCACTCACGTGTGTGCTGCAATGCTACCAACTTACCGTATTCACGTTTTCCTAAAATTACATAAATTGAGTAGAAAAAGTATGTACACTGAGATGCCACGATCTTTGCCGAATCCCTAGAACTAACCAAACACACAATGGCGGTGGTCCTAATGTGAAATGGCATACGAAGCTTACGATACATACAACAACGAATGGCGTACGATACCATTTCACATAGAACCACTGCTATTGTGCGTTTGTGTTAGTTCTAGGATTTCGAGAACATATGCTTTAATGAAACTTATGATCGACTACGCAAGCGTAGAAAATTCTTGGTATATAACTGGTCAAATTCATATTTAATGAAGAATATTATATATGCATTCGATTTTGAATTCATACTAGTAGTTTATTAGACCTTTATTGAAATATGAACGTTTCTGGCAAGACTCTTTATAATAAAGTTCGCGGTTTATGTTCAGATCTTTCAAGTGGAGTTACACCAGGAATATTGGATAAAATTTGTGACGAGCCTTTAGTGCAACCGTTTTTAAAATGGTTTTGCGAGAATGTAAATTACGTCAATGTTCTATCAAACGAAGATGTTCAAGTGTAATGAAGTTATTGTTTATTAATAAATAAAAATATTTTAACACACCGTTAACGTTTGTTTAAATATTTTACAATTATTTTAATGCATTAAAAATTTCAGCTTAAAAATTTTTTCTGTTAATTAAGTAGAAATGGAATTATTATGGTTCATATTTTAGAAAAAAAAGACTACAAGAAATGAAGGAATGGATGGAAGGCTATGAATTAGATGATGCATTAGAAGAAGCTACTAAACACTGTCCAAATTTATTAAAAATCATTTCTTTCGATGACACAAATATAAATGATTTATTTACAGAATTGGAAATAGGAGAATTTAAAGTAAAGCAACTATTACATATGTATATATATATTTTTTTTTTTTCTTTACTTAAATGAATTTGACATTATTATGCACAAATACTGTTATAGAAAATTAGAAGCAAGATTAGATGAAGATGTAGAAAAAGAAGAAACATTTTTGGACAGAGAATATATCGAAGCAGATAAAGCATACAAAGAGTGTTCTGTAATTTTGAAAAAGTTTGACATACATTATCGTGAATTTTTTAAAGAAGTTGAATGTCTTTTAAATGTTTATGCAGATGCAGCTGAAAATGTAGGTAATTATAGATAATTCTCTTTATAATTTGTAACAGTAACAATCTCTTACTTGTAGAAAGGAATACCAATGTTATGGACTCAGATGCCTCTAGAACTTTTTATTAAAAAGATAGAACTGTATAATTGTTACTTAGATGTTCATATAAACTGGCAATTTGAAAATGCACATAAGGAAGATCAAACTTCTGATTCTAATTATGTTTCCTTAATTAATAATAGTAAAGAGAAGTGTATGGATAATGAAAAGTTACAGGAACTTAAATTATGTAAAACAAAGTAATTACATATTTATAAATACCATTAAGAGGAATATTTATGATACTTATTATTGTTTTATTTTATAGCTTAACTAATGCAAAAATTGAAGAGATTTTGGCTAAAGTACAAGAGAAATCATATGTTGCAATGTTAGATTATGTACAAGACATATATAGTTTAGGAAATTTAAAAATGCCAGGGTCCTCTGATTTAAGGTATATAAAAGTTCTTTAAGTATAATTATTTTTGTTTATTAAACATACTATATAAATATTATTTTTATGTATCACCAGAACAGAAATTTCAAAGCTAACTAAACAGAGAGATTTCCTAGATGAAAATGTTTCCTTATCACAAGAGTTTTACAGAGTTTTAGTACAACAGTTTTCAGAATTGGAAATAACTAAAATTTTAAAAGAAGAGGCTCATACAAGACTTACACGAACAAAAAATCATTTAGAAAAGCTTAAAAACTTGCGATACCTTGCACGGGAACATGGTCATGTGCACACTGATTTATTACGTATGTTAATGGAGATGCAATTTCACCGTCTTAAAGATGTTTCTGAATTTGTAGCTGATGCTTGTCACTTTTTAACAACAGAATATTTACTATCTTCTACCAGACGTGTTAGTAATTTAAAAGCAAAAAATAAAATTTTCAAATTATGGTTTATAATTAAATTTTGTTTATATAGGAAAGCATGCATCAACAGCAAACCGAGTACTCTGCAATCATAACATCTTCACCAAAAGCACACAATTCATTTCATAAAATTTTTATTTCTATGATATGTGGTAATGATAGTATGCGTCAATTAAATTCTGCATTGGATAAATATAATGATCTCATAGGTGAAAATAAAACCAAGAAACAATTCGTACTAAAAACATATTTAAACTCGAAAATACACAAATTGGAGACATTGTAAGTATTAATCATTTACTAATAAGATACATTGTAGAGAGCACTATAACTGTTATTATTATTTAGAAAAAATGAAGTAAATTTGCAATACATGAACGAAATTCAGAAAGGACCTACGTATACATTTAAACCAATTTCTTATGAAATTGAAACTTGTCACAGTGAAGCATTGGATAATTTACAAAAAATACAAACAGATTTAACAAAAATAAGATGTCAAATGAAAGAACGATTGGTAAACATTAGAAAAACATATGTAATATATATATGAAACATTATTTCTCAAATAATAATTGAAACCTTTCATTATAGAAAGCGGATATAAGCTTTGAAAGAGAAACAAATATTCTTTGGCAACGGTTTTTAGTTGATCCTGATGCATTGAGAGAAACTCATAAAGAAGTGAAGCAAATGGCGAATAAGTCATGTTTTGGAGATGCTTTTAAGAATGAATGAAACATGTAATAATGAATGTAAGCCTATTGTAACGTAATACTATTGAAAATAAACAAAAATATCGCTGCTTTTTGCATGACGCTGAAACTAACCTAATCGTTTCAAAATAATAAATTCATAATAAAAAAAATGAATGTTAAATAAATTCGCCTTATTCGAAAAATACTTGTTATTATACGATGTTATTTATACAATATTAATATTATGTTAATGTATTCAATAAATGGTAACAAAACTAGAAAACTAATATTACAATACAATTTAAATAATAACAACTTAGTGTGTGTAAGAAATTTTCATTTTTTTCTATGTCTGTCCCTACCAGTTTACTAAAATGCTGTATGCAGGCATTGAAATCACCGCTAGCCGTGCTTGTTACTACATACGTATGTAAATACTTCACGTGTAAAATGTACTAAGTGGAACACATTTTCCATAAGCAATTTTGCTAGAATTATACTTTTAACATCATTCAAATAACACTTATTCATTTATTAATGATTTATTTTGTTCCATAATTCATATAAAAATCATATATATTCATAATAATTTCATATCTATTAATAGACGACATGTGATGTATCAGCAGATATATGTATGTAGTACGTATGTATATTCTTCTGAAAAAGATAATTCTCTATATGAAAGTTTTTCTTTGTAATTGCCCTCATCTAATTGTATGTAACATTTATATATTTAGAAAATATAAATTATACAACAGTTTCTTTTATATTACATCGTTAAGCGTGACACACATTAAACTATGTCAAGTGTTTGTACCAAGGTTAATAAATGAAGTTTAGTAAACGTCATTTCCAGTAAATGTCAAAATATGGAATAAAAAATGTATTTAAAATTTGAATAACCTTTTTTAAATCTCGACGTGTACAAAATGTTTAGAAAATCAAAAATTGCAAAACTCCATAAAAAATCAGTACAATAAGATAATTTTAAGAAACTGTAGAAAACGTTTAAACCATTTCATTTGATCGCCTTTCCGTTCCTTTGATGTATAAAGAATGTTCTAAATTTTCGTATATTTCAAAATAAAAACCATTAAATTTTACCTAAAATTTAATACAAATGCCCAAAATGTAATGAAAAAAAATATACTGATGTATCTACGGTAACTTATCTTTTTTTTGTCCATTATTAATTCATAAGCAATCCCACATAATCTCGATAAATTTCAAAGATCGTGACATCATAAAACTACATTGGCGTAAGACATGCTTTTATGTGTGTGCTCTGCATCAAAATATAGTTCACGGAAAGGTATCGAAATTTATACAGACTAACAATCAGAGTTTATAGCAGTGGTACTTCAGTGGTTTGTTACTCCTATAACGGTAAAAACGTGACAGGTATATACAGTAGAAGTGAAGCAGCTAGGTGGAAGGGAAACCTGCACTGCTTGCTTGGTCTCTTGAAACCATGATTGGTAGTGCTTGTTAGTATTCATCTAACTGTTGTATCGAAAGTATCGCCACTTACAATTAGTGCTCTCTTATTTTTTCTTCTCTATTTCTCTTTTTAAAAAGACGGTGCTATTACATTTTGACCATTACGACATCCGCGAAAGAATCATTGCAACAGGTCCTTCGACAAGGTAAATCGCCGTTCAAGATTATTTTTGTAAGATGACGCGATCCTGCTGTCGATTGTTGTATCATGTATGGAAATTTAATGAATACGCGAGCTATCGAAAAATTTTTTATTCAGTTTAATTAGTACTAACATTCATTTCTAAGATTCATGATAATCAGTACGAATCAGTCAAGTAAATCGGGTTTTGGGGACTTGTAGAATATAAACTTCTATCGTATGTACTACTTTCTAATTGGCGAGAAGATTCCGTTGGCCTAACTATTCGGAAGAATAAGCAACGTTTGACAGATGTATTTCTCATGGAAGGAACTGTACATTTTTAGTAAAAATTAATGGAATATAAAACTGAATAAGTAATTAAAAAATTAAAAGATCGTAATAAGATTCTGAGAGATATGTATGCATATTAAAAAAGATTATATTAAAAATTTAATATATATTGAAAT